ATTCCAGCGCTCGGATTTTTTTCTTCGCTTCTTTCCCCATAACATCTCGAAAGAAACGCTGGGAAGGGAAGGCATTTGGTGCTTTGAAGGACATTTCTCAAAAATTAGGCCTCGTATAAGCCTTCGAGGAAGACTATCTTGACGAATCGTCAGGCCACTTTTAAAGTCTCTATCCAAAAACCTCGTTTGCACAGACGTGGATACTTCAAGCGTAATACAACCACGTCTAACCACTTCATAGTCTCTCTTTAGGAAGATATACACTCGATGTTCTTTCCAGCATATTCACAGCGAACGTCTATGCTGACGAGGAACTGCCCGAGAGTCAGACGATAAGGTGCTCGCTCCGCCGCGTGGCATTACACCATCGACCGAAGGTCATCTCCGATGGGGTGTGCCGATGGCTTGCCGATGCTTCCTGCCTGTCAGACTCGAAAAACGATTTTTTACTGTCGTTGCATGCCCATAACCATCCAAGCTTATCACACTGACCATTTAAGGGCGCAACGTTTTTGGCTGTTGTCGCCGAAATTGTGCTGTGACGTCAATGTGTCAACGCAAGCTTCGCTTTTGCTCCAGTTCCGCTCCTTTTTTGCTGTGCTTGTAATTTAGGACACCTTCAGATAAGCTTCAGGATCCCTAACGACTTCCGTGAGCTATTTTTCCTGTACTTTCTAAAGTACGAGAAGATATTCTTTCTGGATCTGCTCGAATACTTGCAGAATTTTTAAGTTCATTTTTTATCAGCATTCTACCATGACTGCTTTTTTTGATGTGCAACGCTCTTATACTTATCAGCTTCAAGCATGCTCTGCTCCAGAAAACCAGAAAAGTGTCGAGTGCAGACCACGCACTATAATTGACGACAACCTCTACAAATTGCATATGTTTTCTGCTAATGAAATGTTCGGTCTCAACACCTGTCAACCGTGAGCCTTGGCAGGTTCAGCGTTTTGTAGTGATGTCTGGAGCTCTCACAAGTGCTCTTTCTTTATCTTCTTCAAAAGGCTTAGTCCCAATAAGACACAAAGTGTGTGCTTTTCCAGCTACGCTCTCACCCTTTGGTTGACAGAAGCCTTGTAACCGAAATGTTCAGCCTTGCAGTTGTATTCTTTCAGCTTTCACTGATCACAGCTCTCATTTACCATCTATCAGCTATCACTATGAACCACTACTTACAAGATTTACTTGGAGGCCGTCGTCTTTTGTCATGTGTGTTCTGCACCTGACGCTCTTCTGGTTTTCTGAAGCAAAGGGTAATTTCGCCGGTCGCCATGCCCATTTTTCTCTAATATTGCGAGTTCAACATGAACTGCTTGACAAGTTGTTTTTTTTTCTTAGGATGAGCCCGTCAACGACGCATGTCGCCAACGCGAGTGACGTCCCAATTTGGGTGAGTCACATTTCGTACAAGGCTATCTGCAGAACAGCAAACCCACATTCGTCCCTCGAACGGAGTCTAATGTTCTTTCGCACTATGCGAACAAGGGGGTCGCATTTTCACTTTTTGTACAGGGCTAGAGCACCGAGTTCACACTCGTCCCCCGAACGGAGCGAAGCCTTCTTTCGCACTACATATGCGAACAAGGGGTCGCTTTGCGGTCTCGGGAAGTCAGGGGGTCGTGTTTGAGGTTCAGCAAGGTCAACCAGTCTTTGATGTTTTTTGACAATTTTGGCGGAAAGTTCACGAACATGCGTGAAATAGGACAAAGCGATGAAAGAGAATTTACTGCTTCGTTAGACCAACTTACCCCCTCTCCCACTATCCCCACCCCACCCCTTTTATTGGGCGGAGTTGGATCGTATTGGCAGGTCTCACTGATGCCAGAACCATCCACAAAGAAACAGCCATAATGGCGAGGGTGGCGGGTGGGGTGGGGGATGGTTCGTGTTGTTTGAGCCTCTCAAGATTGATGGTGGTGGGGGTTTAGCGAAATATCCGGAAAAAGCGCGGCGGTTGGCCCAGCCCTCGAACTCGCAACACAGTCTCTTCAACTTTTCAGGCAAGAGTGATTGACGATGGGAAGAAAATCATCGACAATGTGGTGATTAGGACTCCGGGAAATGTGGAAATCCGAATGGGAACAGCCAGTGCTTTTGCTGCAGAACACGGTAATTCTCTAGAACACATGTAACGTAGAGGCTTGTGAGCAGTAGGCTTCACAGCTTCAGAGGCTCTGATCGGACAACGGGTAAGAAACTTTTGAAGTGGTTCCTGAGAGGTACCGAAAAGCGCCTCACTGTTGCGAGCCGATTTTATGTATTACCGGGTAACTAACAAAAGAATATATCTGATTGACATTTTTAATTTATTTTTAGTTCACACTGTAATGAAAATAGTGCAGGATGTGAACATTTCAGGATTCACCAAGATCAGCCCTCGAGTGGCAACTCCGTTCTTCGCTGGCGATCGCATGTTGTGGTTGTTCAGGACAAAGGTCTATGTCAGTGCGTACTATGTGTAAGTTTGTTGCTGTATATAGGTATATAGCAAATCCT